CATGGCAGGATTGCGGTTGTTTGGAGAGCAGCGGCTATGCAGCGTGACTGGAGTTTTCCACCCTCCCCTCAGCAGTCCTCCTGCCTCCCTCAGAAATAATTCCGATCAGGTACAGAGTATCAGTTTTTGCATCGCCAACTCTACTGCCTGATCCCCTGTGAAGGTCACATCATTCCGTGAGTGATGTGTTTAATAACTGCTGGAGCATATACTATGCAGGTCTTGTTCAGGAGGGAATCCGCTGTACTCTACTGTCTGCTGTGACAGGAACAAGGTAGAAGGAGTTGTTGATGATGTTGACACACTGGTGCTGTTGATGGGAGCCTGGAGTTCGCTCGGAGAACGGGGAATGAAATATTCATGCCGCATATCCAGTTCATGCCCCAGCCTTGTGCATACGCAGTCCGGGGAGGCCCAAGTAGGGAGGGCTGTGGATCTTTGGTTCATCTGCTCACCTACTGCAAGGCCCAACCAGGTAAAAAGCCACCTTGCTCCCACCACACACCAGACGTAAGGGGAGTTGCCAGAAAAGCAAGGGGCAAGGCTATGGCTTTCTTTCCCCAACAGCGATCCCCCTATCTTAACTGTACCCCCGAAATAAATGGGTAACTATTGTGCCATTAAAAATAGTATCTGGAGATGTTCCCAGGCTCTGCCGCTGGACTGGCTGTGGGATCTGTCGCATGCTCTTCACTTATTGGCCAGAATCAGTGTTGACAACCCTAACTCTGAGAACCAGTGAGATGCAGTGGCAAGCAAATGGCTGATCACCTGGTTTAACTGGTCGTGTTGTTCAGATGCCTGATTACCGCCTTCCAAAGCAACTATAGTCATACCTCATGTTGCGTTAGGTTTATGTTGTGTCTTTACGGCTTGCAAATGGGTTTCACCATGCATGTGTGCGCAGAAGCCCTCCATCGCACCAAGCGTGTACACAGAAGCAGCGCTCTAGTTATGGACTTTTCGGGGTGCAAATGGCACCCCGGAAAGGATCGAGTCCGCAACTAGAGGTACCACTGTACTCTATTCCCAACTTAAGAATAGAATGACCTCTACCCGCTTAAAACGGGGGCACCCTTTGCGTGGACGTGTGCAGCCCCTAGATCTGGAGCGGCTCCAACAGCATAGGCTTGGCCTTGCCTTCCCTCAGGTGGGATACCTGGAGGTCTCCGCCTACCTCAGTCAGTTGTCCAATCCCACCTGGGGGAAGCGTTGCCAAAGAGACCAGGCCAGGTAGGGGAGGGATTACCTGCCCACACAATAGAGGGAGGGTCTTACCTGGGAATCCTCACTTTAATCCCATAGCACGTTGTCTTGAGTCGTTATTCCACATGACGGACCGCGCAGGATCTGGGGACTCCGCCTGTCCACGCAAAGTAATGCCGGTCGACAACAATAGAGGTTGAAAGATGCTCTCAGGGCAAATATTAAAAAATGTAGTTTAAGCACTGGCAACTGGGACTTACTGGCCTGCAAGCACTCCAGCTGGAGAGCAGCCTTCACCAAAGGCACTGTGAACTTTGATGAAGCACGAAAGGGAGAAACGAGCTAAGAGGAAGGCACATGTGGCAGATCCTCACCTTGAGGATGTCCCCACTGTGGAAGGATGTGTGGATCCACAATTGGCCTCCACAGTCACTTATGGACACACTACTAAGACCATATTAATGGAAGACAAGCTTATTCGGCTACGAGTGATCACCAAAGAGAAAGAAGAACTGGCCAGTTGAAGCTGTTCCCGGGGTGTAGCTGCTGTTGCATTCTGACAGCTTGTAGGAGCTGATTGGGGACCAAAGGTGGACAAACTATTCCAGAAGGAGCACGACAGGTCCCCACTAGGGGTACCACCCCTCCCCTAACACCCCATCAGGAACATTTGCACCATTGATTATTGTGAGATATTTAAAAAACTGAACCACAACAAAGGGTTGTAAAATGAAGCATTTGGGCACATCCAAGATCAGGTCTTTCCCCCTTCTGGTAAATCTTGCCATCCAGCCACTGCTGCAGCTTTCCCCAAACTGATGGCCACCTTCCATCAGACCTAGTCAATATGACCTTATTGGAGAAGGCTGCACGAGTGAAACTTGAAGCCACGCATCGTGTCATTTCCCTTCCTAGTCAGGCCTTTCTCCTTGCCTAATTATGAATGACATCTGCCTTCGGATGTGTTTTACTGTTTGAGCACTTTGATTTTAAAATACGGTTTTATAATTTCATGATGACTGCTTTCTGTTTGGGTTTGTGCAATTTTTGCAAATGCTCAAATGCAGATTCTTGCCATAGACTTTGTTAAAAAAGGAGCTGCTCAGCCATTGAGCGAATGGTCTGTCAGATCATCTGGAATTTGAAAAGGGAAAGAGAGATTGTTCTTAAGATTGTGGTTTAGAGACATGGGGAATGGTACATCCAATCAGATGTGGGGCAAGATCCACAAAACAATTAAGCAGTTTATAATTTCTTAATTTACAGGAGACACAGCATAGGCTCCTGTAAAATGGTACCTCAGAGCAGCGGTGACTAACTTGTTGTCCTTTCTAAGATAGTTTGAGCTTGGGAGGGTAAATAGTCACATCTGTTACGCAATATTTTGAAGATGTTAATACCCTTTCTACTTTTGAATGCACTTTCTAGAAACATCAACCATGTCTGGAGACATATTCAGACATTTGGATCTGTATGTGTAATTGATGACAGATGTATTGATATATTGCGGAAGATGAGCTGACAGTGTTGTCTTGTTTAGTTGCTTTCCTCTCATCCCTCTCTTTTTTGTGTTGTTCTTCTTTAAAAAAATTATTTTTTTAAAAAAATTAAAAATATGTTGAACACGGACCCCTTCCCCAGAGACTTACCATTTAACCAATTTAAAATTGGACCCCATTTAACTGGTGGACGTTGGATTCTCAAGTCAGCAGATTTATGTCGTGAGTACGATGGAAGAATATTTTCTCGATTCTTCTCCATGCTTTACCTTT